CAGCTATTTGACTTACAGAGCAAAACAGACTTACAATGCCTAATGATACCCTCTCCTTTATTAAGTTCAAAGTGATTTCACTAAGATCAGGCTCAGGGGTCAACAGTATAGTGGACAGGATTTAGTAAAGGTGTCTGAATTTATCACACACTACTGTACGTTTCAAGAATCCTTCTGAGCCACTCATTCTTATTCTGTTCTCAGAGAGACCTTAGTAAAAAATTAAAACACTTGTTCATATTTAGACAGTCAGCATGACCTCTTCTGAAGATATATAATGAATAGTACATCATACACAGACATTGTCAAACAGCTGAAAGCTATATTTGCACAATATGACATTTCTGAGTCAGTCATATTAGATAATGGACCACAATAAGCTGTTCAAGGCTTTGTGATGCTTAGTCAGCAGTATGACTTCACATACACATCATCACAAGCAATTCAAGTTATGAATCACGAAATGGCAAAGCTGAAAGAGCTGTCAGAACCATTAAAGACTTGCTAAAAGCTTCAACTGATCAAGACGAAGCATTGTGAGTTATAGATCTATTCTCTTGCCAAACAGATATAACCCAAAAGAATTACTAACAGTTACAAATCTTCATACCAAAGTCCAAAGTAAAAACATTAATATAAGAATGCCAAGTGTCCTAAAACGGAAGTGATGTGGCAAACACTTATGAATTCTTACCCTTCCCCATTTTGCAGACATATGTTAGTACAAGTAGACAGTGATATCACCAGCTCAAAAAATAGTGAAATGTCATCAAAGCCACTGTTGGATATACAAAACTGTTTAGCTTAATAGTTAATATTTAGTTTTCATAACAAGTGTTAAAAGTTAATTATTTTAAAAGTAATAGTTATGTCAAGTTTGTTATGTAACTCTGTATGAGTCATACATTGTGTATGTAGTTTAATTGTTGTACTAGGCTTTTGTAATATTGTTGACATCATCTTACTCGAAGCTTCTAAGTTTTTGTCATTGTGTGTAATATTTTTGTCACTAGAGGGCTAGATTTTTCTGTCACATGTTATAAATGCATGCAGATACAGAGAGAAAATGAAGAAAGCAAGTTAAATGAGAGATAATTAGATAGATCTAGACTGAGTGATAGCAGTTTAATCATGATGGGTGATTTCTAATGAAGTGAAGTTAGAAAATATTAAGTTAGTGAATGTGAAGTTAGACAGCATGATTGTTAGTTTAGCTGTAACAGGCAATATTTTAAAGTGAGTTTCACAGTTTAACAGAGATAAGGAGAACAATTTGTTTTTTTAAAGGGTTTTCTAAGGTAATTGAACCTGTCTGTGTGGACTTTGATGAAAGGAAACAATTATTTAAAGTTCTGGATGCAACTGGTGGTAATCCATGCGGTAACGTAAGTGAATTTATTGCACATTGTATAGTAAGAAACAGAGTAGAGAAAAATAATTCACCTTGTCAATTGGAGTCTAAAGCAATTGAATCAGCCTGTGTTGACTTTTGACAAGAAAAGAGAATTATTTAGAGTTTTAGATACAACTGTAATATCTTATAATGTAAAGAATTTTTTCTATATACATTTGACTTGTTTTGAATATATTATTTTAAAACAAGTGGATTGTGTGTTGTCCGTTTATTGCTTGAATATATTGCCAACAAGTCACAGACACCTACTGTAAAAGAATCCCAGCCCACATATATAAAACCCTGACAGCTACCTTGTGCTATTTGGGCTCCCAATTCTTCTCATGCACCTATTAGTGTGATAACAAAATCTGGCACTAGACATAGTGATTAGTGAATTGCAGTTACTGGTTGTAATTAAATAAATTCAAGGCAGGTTAGATTTGCTCATAGTTAGCATGTAGTGGTGAAGTTTGATGTGTGTAGTCTTCTTTGTTTGTTTGTTTTAATGCTGCATTGTGGAGAAGATAACACTATCCTCTGATGTTCATAAAGTCTGCTTAGGTTTACAGACTGGACCAAAACATGGAAGCATTTGATTAGACAGTCATTGAATTAGTGATTTACACATACCTCCTGTATAAGGTTATAAGTTTGTTTGTTGTTAAGCATAAAGCTATACAATGGGATACTTGTGCTTTGCCAATTGCAGGCATGATGCCAAAACATTTTTTAGCATTACAGACCCTCAGACTTACCACTGAACCATGAGGGCCTATGATTCTAAGTGCTTTACTTCTATTATTTTTTTTATTTAAGGTCCTTTAGGTCTGGAATGTTAAGTGCCTGCTGTTATGATGTAATGTTGTTAAATAACCTGTATTCTATAGAATACATATTTTACTAGCTTTTCTGGCAAGCCATCCATAACACAATGAAAGGTGTAAACCTTGATCTCCATTTTATCTGTAAAAAGAAGTTTAAACAGTTTCAGTTTTGGTATGTTTTGGTTATAATGTCTGAAGATAAACATTTAAGCACATGCTATTTATTACACCTCACCAATTCCCATAGATAGTTTGGATTTTTACAGCAATCATCCTTAACACACTGAGTTAGACAGTTCTTGTATTTTAGTTGAAAGATTACACATTTAGTGTCTGAAGCTAGGCTGAGAGGAGAAAGATTAGAATTAAGATATTACTTGAAAACAAAAAAAATCATTACCCTCAAAAAATAAGTAATAGAAGTTTTATGACTGCTGAGGAAAATTTTAAACCAGAAAGATAAATTAAAAATATATTCTTCACCTTCTTATTCATTGTTCAAGGTAAATGTATACTTAATTTATATTGAAAAACTTAAAGAATTTAGGAGCTCAAATTTGAAAAACACAAAAAAACAAAACCATTTCTCTGAAAATAAACTTGTCTTACTTCATAAACAGCCTAAAATTTATACAGACTGCTCACTACAAAACAATCATTTCTTCTAGAATCATGAACAATTTTGTCTATATGAGTACTTATGACCTATATTGAAAAGATAATAGAAAGGAGCTTGTTTGTTTGAAGTTAAGCGCAAAGCTACACAATGGGCTATTTGTGCCCTGTCCACCATGGGTATCGAAACCCAGATTCTAGCATTGTAAGTCCACAGACATACCGCTGTGCCTCTGGGGGGGCAGGAAGGAGCAAAAAATATATTTGTGATTCTTCTAGTGAAATATTTTTTTTTTTACTGAAGTCCGGTATAATTGTTATTTCTAAAACATTTTGTACCTCTTAAATATGTGATATATCATGGGATTTATTGTTTGGGAAATTCAAAATCTAAGACAGCTATGAACTGATATATGTAATCCTATAATCATACCTCTTCAAAAAAGTAAACATTTTCATGAATGTATCAAACAAATTTTGGTAACTTAAAAATGCCTCTTTTGATGGTTTATCTTCCAACATATTAAAATCTCTTTAGAAAATAAATAAGTTATTATACTATACAATGCATGATTTTCAAAAATTCTTTGGGTTTGAAGGAGAACCTAAATATAGACCTAAATGTTTTTACAGGAATTCTTCAACTTGATGGTAACTTATGAGCATGTCGTCAGGCTAGACATTTCTTAAGACTGAAGTATAGCAAGATCTAATTTTCAACTACCAAAAGGAAGGCAGAAACTAGCAGCACCCACTGCAACAAAAGCTTTGTTCAATTCTATGAATAGAATAACTGGAGTGACTGTCACTTTTATAACATGTGCATAGCTGAATCTCGTAAAAGTGCAGAGCAAGTTCAACAGATCATGTCTTGAACTTCAGAACGTTCAACTTGCAGCTATACATGCTACCCAATAGTACCTGGCCGGATCTTATACAGAACATCAGAAGGAAGATTAACATTTGTAACAAATGCTGATTTAATCTTATAAATTGAAATTGGTTTTAGTTGATTTAGTTGTTACTTACAACTTCATTTTTATTTCACTTATTTATTTTAATGCTAAATACAAAATAGCTAACTTTGCTCTTCCCCACATATAAGCTAAGCCTAAATCTATCTAAATGGCCGAAGAGGGACAAAACTGGTTATAAGCACTAGACATGAAAGCTTTACTAAAAAAACTATGAATAATAAGTTCATGTCAAACTCAGGCTTCATTAGTCTGTCAATAGCAGTTTTATAGACATAACTTGTTTGTGTTTTCTACAGCAAATACACGTTGGGCTATCTGCTGTGTCCATCACAGGGAATTGAACCCCAGATTTTAGCATTGTAAGTCCATAAACTTACTGCTATCCCTTCGAGAGAATATTGGCATAACAGTAACAGTAATAAACCAGTATAATGATAATTTTTCTTTTTTAATACAATAATGTTGTAAATGTTAAGTGTACCATACTTCAACCAAGTTATAGACATTCATACTTTCTCCATAACACAGAAAATAAGAAAAATTTCTTACACAAGGATTATGTTTCTCAGGCTCATTTCATTAAATAGTATTGGTCAGGTATTTGTTTAACTTTATGGAGTTACAATTCGAGTAATACATTTTTTTTTCAATTAATAGCTAAAAGAAAGATACCCAGCATTTTGTGATGTATATGTAACTTAGTGGTTGAAGGAACTACCATTTGGTTAGTTTTTCATGTACTAGATTTTTCAGCTGAATAGTTTGATAGTGACACATTTTTTTTATATTACCTGAATAATATTTTTATAATTAAATTTCCCCTTTAATTATTTTTTATAAAACTACAGAAGTAATGTTAAAAAATTAAAGATGTACAATTTTGAGATTGTAATACTGAAGAATCCACTGAAGTGGCTTAAATATTATGATCAGAAATTATTTTAACAGTGCCTACCTATGTAATGTGTCCCTCAAACAATAACAATATGCTAATTATTATTATTATTATATATATATATATATATATATATATAAACATACATAAATGTGTCTGAGTGTGTATATATGTGTGTATGGACTTGTTTAAATGTTATTAATGTTTGATGGAAGATAGTATACAGCTTTTTCAACTCCAATTTTTTTTTATATAGTTGAATTAACAGAAATTACAATAAACCCAGAATTAAGTTTTAGGTTAATACATTCTTTATAAAAGCAGAACCACAAGAAAATAAGTATATTATTTTAAAATATCTCTCAATCATGTCATTAGTATGAAATATTATAGGCCAACCACTGAGCAGGATTATGAATAAGTATTTTATCTATAACAGTCTGTGAAATTCCCCTGTTTAACATCGTGGGAACAACACTGAGAAGGATGTGAGAGAATCCATGACCGCCATATTTTTTCTGAAGGAAGAAAAAAAATCATTTTTTATTATTTTGAGCTTATATTGAAAGATAGTAGTAAAATAAGCAAAACAAAGCCCAATAATTTAGTTCATACAATTTTATTTTTGCAAGCTTAATTTTGTCTATTGTTAAATTTAATTTGTCCAGCTTAAAATTTCTTTGTGTGTAATACTTCACGTAAAGTTTCTGTTATTTTCCTTTTATGTATGCATTATATAGCAAATGAAAGATACAAACACTCTTTATATGGTATAGTGGTATATTCAATAAAGACAACATACAAAGATTGGTAAGTTATCCTCAATAAAAAGGAACATGTGCTTTGATAAAACTTACCTGAAAACATTTATTAATAAAATAAAATTGTGAAGTGTTTTTCTAACCATTTCACATTTTAAACAGTGATTTTGTCTTTTTATTAATGAGAAATAATTTAACCAATAAATTATTCACTATACAGTAACTTTTAATAATTAGTAACATGATGAAAAAAAAAAAACTTTACTAGTAACACTGCCAATTCAAATCTAACACTATGCTCTCACAAAACACATTGTTTTGTAGTTTTATAAACAATACACAAAAAATTATGATATATAGCAATCCTTGATTGGCCAAGCCAAAGCTCATACCTAAGTCCACTAAAAATCTGTGGAGAGACTTGAAAATTGCTGTGCATCGAAGACATCCTTCCAACTTACAGGAACTGGAGGATATCTCCGAGCAAGAGCAAGCAAAAATATCTCCAGTATACTGTGCAAAGCTTGTGGAAGGTTATCCACAACAACTTTCAGCTGTCATTGCTGCCAGAAGAGCTTCAACCAATTATTAACTGCATAATCATGTTAGGGGTTGAAGACTTTTGCAACATGTGTTTTCAAAATTTATTTGTGTTATATCACTAAAGTAAGTTTCAATGCACCTTTAGTTCTTTGTAATCATTAGAAACTGGTCTGAGATTAATATAATAAATATTTTTGGCCATTTGAGTTGTGTCTTTCTCAAGAAAATTACTAAAATTGATTAAAAGCACAGGGGGGGGTTAAGACTTTTGCAAGGCACTGTAAGTTGTTTACCAGTGATTCAAGTTCATTCCAAGAACTTTTCCCTGAAGAAACCATTGTAAAACTTCCTCAGTTCAAGATAAGCCATGCCCACTTGCAAAGTAGAAGCTAAGTAATAGTTTTAACTTGAATGGCATGCTTATAACCAATAAAATAAGTATATTTCACACTTTATGTTGTAATGAGAGCAGGAAAGTTAGGTGATATATGTATTTTACAAAGGAATGAAGCTTAGTGAACTGTTGAGAGCAGCTTCCCTAGAGCTTGCTTATTTTTGCTCGCCTTATACATATTAGTTTGATTGCAAGTTGAATTGCATTTATATTTTACTTCGTTATTTTAGTTAATTATTGGGTTTTAAAGTTCATATAAAGGTTTAATGATTATTTAAGTTTTCTAATAGTCGCTTCACTGATCAAGGGTTATAAAAATAAATAAATGCAAACGTTTTGCCATACGCTAAGGCAGACTCTCTGCCAATAATAATGTGATATTGCCCTTGGCCACCACATTGAAGTGTGCCAACATGAATAATATTAGAGAAAAAATCAAAAAGGAAAATAAAACATTAAAAATGAAAAAACTTGTGAATAGGTATACACTTAAAATTATGCATATGACCCCAAAAAAAGATACTTTCAGATTATTCAGTAACAAAATAAAAGGTAAGTACATATTTCCATTTCTTAATTTTAAACAATTCATTGTGCTATTATTGATGATAATAGCTAGAATTAGTTATATAATAGAGAAAATGGAAAATAAACAATAAACATTTACCTCAAAAAAAACTTTTATTATTCATTTAGCATGTTCTAGAGCAGCATTTCCCAAACTTTTTTGGCCATGGAACACTTTTCAGCTGAGAAAAAGCTTACGAAACACTAGACATGTGATATATTGGTGTAGAGGGTATGTTGCATGCACAGCTCCTACTAGATTTGTATATTATTCATTTATTTATTTAATCAAATTACATATTAATGAATTTTTACATTTTTATGCTTATAATATAGTTTAGGTACAAACCTCTCCACTAAGATATTATGTAGAATAGATATGGCATCTTTTATAATTCTTCTTCAATGTGAAATCAACATTATCTAATTCTAATACATAGGAAAATATTTCCTAATAAGTTATGATTGTACAAAAAGTGTTAAGTATTTCATTAAAATTTAAAATCACAATTTTCTCATGGAGCACCTATCAATCTCGGAGGGAACACCAGTATTCTGTGGAACATAGTTTGGGAAACATTGTTCTAGCGATTATGCAAGTGAAATGTAAAAACTGTAAGATAATAAAAAGTATTTTTATACTCAACATGAACTATTCAGAGTCCTAGTACAAATAACTATATTAAATAACAAACCTTGACTAGAAATAATAGAAAAATTCAAAATTAAATGTTTTATTTTTTTAAACTAAATACTTTTAGAAAAGTTCTTGTCAAATTTCAAACAATTACTAGTTTTATTGTTAGAATGAAAAATGAGGAAAGCTACATTACCTACTTGCAATACATGAAACAGGTAGTCATAGGTGTAACTCTTTCAGCACAGGCTTGGTCCCATGAACCGACCTTGTAACCATTTTGTGGTTGTTATGGTTTTCATGCCATAACGTTTAATACAGTAAGCATATCTTCATGAAATTTTGCAGATTATTAGTAAACATTACAAGGTTTCTTTAGAAAAATATCTGATTTTTTAAATAAATTTTAAGATTTCTTAAGTAATGTTCTTCTCATGTCTTTTTTTTTCTTCAAATGTTGACTATCCAACATGCAAAGTAATTTTGATTTTAAGATTAAAAATACTTTTATGCATCAGAAAATTGTAAAACTTCACATGCAAAATCTTTATAACCTACAAATAATTATTAAACATTTCTTAAGAAAAAAAACTGTATTTTATCTGTTATTTTCACCAATGAATCTCTGTACAGGTTCAGTTGATTTGACCAAAATTAGGATATAAATATAAATTATGCCTCTTTCGCTCTAGAGTGACTACAAATTATAACACAAATGTTTGGACTAAATAGCTTAAATCTCATAACATTATACATTTATATATATATTTATTATTTTTTATTATATTGACCTTTCAGCCATGCTTGGCTAACATTACAGAAGTTGCAGTGACATGCTGCACGTGTACTCATGTTACTGTATCCAAGAATATAAAACTTTACAAAGTGACCTGTCTTGGCTGTGTTTTATGGGACTAGTATTTTGTAAAATACAGACACATTTCAATTATAATACATTATATACACATTAGTACTATTTACAAATAAGTTCTTAAACTTATTTTTCTTAAAACACAGAACTAAATAAAGAAGTTTAGCAAACAATTATTTCTTCCAGTTGCGAACTTTGTACTCGTTTGCTGCTTGCCAGAGGTTGCTAAGCCTTATCACATGGAGGATGTGAAACGAAATAATATTTTTTAAAGTTTTATATATACATTTTGAAAAAAACCAAAAATCATAAATTACTATATCAATACCATAGAATTCCGCTATAATTTATCATACTTAGTAACTATGCTGTATTTGGGTCTAAAAAAATATTACATTTCGAGCTCAATAAGGACTTACCTTACCATTTGGAAGCTGCCATGAAAAGAAAGGATTTTCTGCATATACACTTTGCAAAGGCTCAGAGAACCACGTAGGGGACATTCTGAGCTTTTGATTAGTTATTCATACATCATAGACAGAAGTAGGTATACATAAAATCAACCAACACCATATAGAGTTAATATTGATAAAATAACAGATTAAATAATAAGTTTTATCCAAACAAATGTTAGATGATTATCTAAAAGGATATTGATATTATGCAAATGAAACTTGACAAATATCTGTTAAAGAAAAGTATTTTTAATCCTAAAATCAAAATTACTTTGCACATTGGATAACCAACATTCTGAAAGAAAAAAACCTCAAGCAAATCTTTAATAAAAAAATCTGAACACTTAATTTAAAAACCTGATATTTTGTGTATGAAAGCCTTGTAATATTTACTAATAATCTGCAAAATTTTGTAAAGATTTGCATATATTATCAACAATTATTGCACAATTACTCTTATGGATACTTTCAAGGTTAGAGCTGGGTGAATTCCACCCAGCCCATATTCATAGGGTTAAGGCAGTTAAGGTAATAAGGTAGTTAAATACACTGATTGAAGTATTTATATAAATATGCACAGGAATAATATCTATTTAAAAGCATAAAAAACTTACTAATCGATGTTTGGTGTGGATATCATGTGCAATAACAACCTTGTCCTCAAATCCTTCTTCCACAAGACTGTGTATGAATGAAATACGCTGAGCATCACTTGGCATATCAACTTTAGAACTCATCTGATAATGAGACACCTCAATTCCAAACAAATCAAACTCGCAGTAAGAACCCATGGAAGCAAATTCAAGCAACTTAGCTCTATCAAATATTGTACCTGTTCAAAAAATTCCAATCAATTACATAATGAAGCTGTTCAAAAGATCTAATTATATGAACATTTTGATTGTCCCCAGAAATTATACTTATAAATTTATTGTCTACAAAGCTTTGAGAACATACAAAGAAATGATATATTATTGTCACATACGGCAGTAATCAATCTTCTTTATTCATTGTAAAAGAACTATTTTAAACACCTTTAAAAAATATTTTATATTAAACCTATTAGAAAAACAAAACCCATTTTCCTACTGTGTTTTCTTTTACTAAAATATAAAAACATTAATGAAATCGACACATTTTAATAATAGAAACATTTTTGCATGTGGTAGTACTGTAATATGCGGGTATGTTATATTTTTTTTCTACTACCTTACTTTAATATGACATTTCAGCATTTGTCAAAACATCAAATGTAATTATACAATGATCACTCTCCTCCAAATGTTCCAATAGTTAAACTCTTCTGACGTGAATCACCTAAAGATATATCTATTCCTTAGTATTTTACTCCAATAAATATCTCTAAAAATAAAATCTACCATACACTGTAACTATTGCATCAGTATTCTTAGTAGTTTCAGTTTTAGTTTAATGCCAGCATTTTGATTCAGACAGTTTATATATCATTTTGATTTATGTAGTTAATATAGTACTTGTGTCATATTTAATTATTTTTAGAAGCGATATTTTATGGTAAGTTTATTTACGTAACCGTTTATGAATCATATGTTGTTTAGTTCAATTATTATGAATTAGCTGTTTTTTACAATAGTGATATTATTGCATCATGTTGCCAGAACTTGAGTTTCTCAGTTTAATTATTGCATCAGAATAATCAGTGTTGCACTGAATGTTCTAGACTTTTGTTGGAGTATAAATATGCATTGAAAATCATTATTTAGTTCCAGTTCTAGACTGCATGATCGTCAGTTTAGTGATAAAGAGTGAATAGTGGCAATTTTTAAAGTGAAATTATCACAGACTGTATTGTAACAACAGAGTAAAGAAAAATAATTGGTCTTGTGAACTGTGTTCTAAAGTAACTGAACCAACCTATGTGAACTTTGAGAAAAAAGAGAGAATTATTTAAAGCTTTGGATACAACTGTGGTAACCAACAGTGTAACAAACACATTTGTGTATATATATATATATATATATCTTCAATTAGTTTTTAGCATATTATTTTAAAACAAGCAGATTGTGTTGCTGTTTGTTTATAGTTGACATTTATCACAGAGGACCCCAGAATGAGAATGGGGTCAGGGCCAGCTGATCCAAGCTGTCCAAATTTAATGAACAGAAAGATGACACAGATTCTTTCCTGGAGATGTACGGAAGATTCCCCAAACGTCAGAAATGGGACAAAGATGATTGGGCAAGTCTGTCTCAGCCCCTTCTCACAGGAAAAAGCCTACAAGTGTATGCTGGGAAGACATCAGGAAATGCCATGGACTATGACAAGTTAATAGCAGTCTTGCTGAAGCACTATGAACTTACTGAGGAAGACTTTCACCAGAACTTCAGAGAAGTCAAACCTGACACTGGAGAAACTGTATTTGAGTTTGTGCCAAGTCTACATGATACTTCACAAGGTGGACTGACATGGCCAAGTGTGAAGATAATTTTGAAGGATTGCAAGATCTACTAATACATGAACAGTTCATGATCACGTGTTCCACTGACATGTAACTGTTCCAAAAGTGGACAAGATGATCAAGCTGGCAGAACAGTATATGAAAACCCATGGAGAGAATATAACTAGCCAGACAACAATAATTAGCCAAAATCGAAGCCAAGGGTAGCTGCCCAGAAGCAGGATACCACAGAAATCAATAGAAAAAAGGAAGAAGAAATGCTATGCTTGTCAGAAAATGGTGCACATTGAGAGTGAGAGGCAAGTTCTTCACCAAAAACCAGCAGCAGAAATCTCAACACAAAGCAGCTAGAGCTACCCACAAAGATGGTGTTGCTGCCAGAAGAAACAGAATGACGACAATTTGTCAGATTCATCACAACAAGAAAGTACTATCACAATGATTAAACAGTGCATGATTGATGATTAGCTTAAGTTAGTGAATGAATCAACAGAAATGCCAACAAACCACAGCATGGAAGTAGGTGAATGCTTTGTTAGGGGACAAGAAAATGAAAGTCCTACAACACATTGGGTGCAACAGTGAGAACCAGTTTAGTAACTGACGGCAAGGTAAATCTGTGAGTGCTGACTGATGGGACAGTGAGAAAGTTTCCCATACTAAGAATAAAAGTGGACACTCCATATTACTTGGGAGACTTTGAGGTTATGTGTATGAAGACACCTAAGAGTGAAGAAGACAGCAGACAGAATCACCACCAGCAACTTCCATTGGCCAGGGGTCATTGGAGATGTGACCAGATGCTGCAGATCATGCAACATCTGCCAAAGGACATTACATAGAGGGAAGGTGGCCAATGTGTCACTGGGAGAGATGACTCTCATAGAAAAGCTTTTCAGCAGAGTAGCTGTGAATTTGATTGGACCACTAGCACCTGTATCTGACAAGGGCAACCTATACATGCTGACAGTAGCAGACTATGTGACACATTACATAGCACTGCCAAAGATAGAGACAGAGAAGTAGCAGAATCCCTTCTGGAAGTTTTATGCAGAGTAGGCTTTCCAAAAGAAATCTTGAGGGACAAGATCGACCTAGTTTATCTCAGGACTGATGCAAGAGATGTGAAGACTCATCAGCAATTACGCAGTTCTTTATCACCCCATACAACTTCCAATGTAATGGAATTTGTGAAAGAGTCGATGGAGTCTTAAAGAATATGCTG